TAGAGGATTTCTTGCAATGCAACCACGCAATTGGTTTGCTAATTGTCTAAATAATTTCTTGCCATGAGTAATACCCGGATGGGAAATATTGCTATTCCAACGAGCTTTATCTTAATTTCCTAGTTGTGCTAAGTCATGTGCGAGATACAAAGTTTCTGGTAGAGAACTTCTTTGAGTCATCCTATTTTTCCGTTCATACGAAGGAAATTAATATGCGATTTACAAAATTGGGGAATCCAAAATGAAATCCTTTCTTTTTTGCTTATCTATGGAACACCTTTGAGGACATAGTAAAATGCACTAGTCTATTTGGATCCTTTGCACAAAGAAGAAACACTGAACATATGAATCACAAATTCATACGACTTGATTTTTTGTGTGAGGAGCTTAGATAAAAAAAAAAGGATACATGAGACAGTGACTAGATTATCATTCTCTTGCAAAATATCACCGTAGTTTGCTTGGTGATCAGCTATCATTCTCTTGCAAAAAATCACCGTAGTTTGCTTGGTGATCGGCTTATTTACAGACATCCATTCAAAACGTATGTTATGTTTGATGTTTTATTGAGATGTACCGTGGAAGTTAAGTCATGACATATGTTCGGAAACCCAATGAAAAACGATCGCCTAGAACGGTGAAACGCCGACTAGTCTGTACTTCATGCGCTTTTTTAGGATGTTTGGTGAATTGCTGGTGAACACAAGTAGCTGGTCTAGGTTCCATGAGTTAGGAACCTTATTCTCCTTGGCGCATCGTACACATCTATTTGACATTGATGGGATGACACTGAACGTTTTACCAAGATTTTGCGAGTTTTGAGTAAACTTCCAAGGCAAATTTAGTTGCCCCAGTTAGATGCACCCCACATATCGCATTGGAAATGTTGCGCCCAGTATCCAGCACCAAATTTCAGCGTGGAGTTATGGACTCGTGTCACAGCTGCCGTGTAGAAATCATGTCAAACTGGAAGCAACCTTCACAGTTTTTCATAGTAGTAATCTGGCAGCACCCAGAGTACACCAGTAACGAAGACAACAGTGCAATACACTACGACGAAACCACGCTCTGTTGAAAACGCACGGGCCGGAATACAAAGCAGTGAAGAAATACTCCCTCGGTCCCATAATATAAGCTGTTATTACATCCAATATACTCACATATTGAATGTAATAACATCATAATATTATGGACAGAGGGAGTAGCTGACAGGACAATTATAGTGAACTTGCTTCTAGTGACATCCAATATCATGTTAACAAGGCTAAATATCTAGCTCCATAGATAGCTACACAACCTGCTATGAAATCCTAGACAAGCCTAGAGCCTGTACAATAAGAAAATCCAATGAACAAAGTACTGTCGACAACGGCCCATAAAATTTAACCTGAGGATATCTTGCCACTCCCCAAAAGGCCCCACTAACCATCGGAATACTCTTCATCGTCACTAGGCTGTTCGAAAATTTCAAACTCCCCATCACTTGCTTCACCATTATTAAGGGCATCACCTGATTTATTCTGGCCATCTTCATTCAGTGGAAAGCTGCGCAACACCTCCTCAAGGTATCCAGTGGAGAAGCCTTCTCCAAGTGTGTCTGATACATCTTATAGGAAAACAACAGACAACACAACTTCCAACACTCGTATATTAAAGAGAAAGGGAAAACATCAATGCAATGCAAAAGTTCTTTAACCATGTAAAAGCCGACTCAAGGATTGAGAAGAAAACTTTGGTTAGTAATCGCAACCTTAAGTACTGCTTCTTGTTACTCTAACCTCAAAATGTAAAATCTGGTAACTCATTTGAAATATTTGCAAGAAAGGGAAATCAACAAGTTTACACTAAGCAACCAGAACTAGCCCAGTTCCCTTCTCCCCAGGTCATGAATTAATTGCTGCAGAAAGTGAGTGAAACTGTAGCCCAACTTGTTGTGTTTGTACTCTTTGTTAACCAACATATTGTAATATTTTTACTGCTACCTTCCTTACAGGAAAAAGATGTGTCAGGCACAGAGAGGAATGGGCACAAAGTTGCAACAACCTAGTACTTTTTCCCCATGAGAAATCAGATTTCATAGAATGAATTGTATTAAAGGATACAGGACTCATGTAAGGCGAAATCAGGAACATCCTCGGCCTACATAGATATAGTAAACAATTAGTTATTGTAGAGCATATTATAGAGCCAAAGGTGCAAGTAGTGACAAATACCATGGCTGGAGAATCATAACCATCTGATTCCTCTTTATCTTCCTCTTCCTCGTCATCAGCATCTTCACTATCAGAGTTGTTAGTGTCCATCTGATCCTCAGATCCAACATGTTCAGCAGGCGCTTCTGGAGAATAAATAGGATTTAACAAGCAGTATGGATGTGCTTAATTATCTCTCTAGGAAGAAGAACAAACATTTGTTCATCAAACACACGGGCTACCAATTGATCTGAACTTGTATCAAAGCCCATACAAACAGAAGTACAAACCTAGCATGCACGAAAATGGGATATAGAAACATGAACCTTGTTCATAAGCATTTATAAGCTATACAGTGCACTTGGGTATTTTCTACAAATTCCTTAAAGATAGCATAGTACTAGAACAAGTTAGAATGTGGATAATATGTCCACTGCAAACAAAGAGAATATTGTACTCACAGGTCAAGTTTTCTATCATGTTCTAGTACTATAAACCTTTTTGGAATTTCTCGTGAGCTCATAAGTACTCAAACCTAAAATAGCTCCAAATGAATCTTGGTTCACAAAATTAGATTAATAGAGCCATCGAAGCAGTATATAATTAGCTCAATGAAAATTGTTTTGAACGATGCAGGTACGCATCAAGTTCATACTGCTCAGTAAGAGGTCTACAAATCGCGAAACGCGGACCATACACTATGTCTGCAGGGTACCCAGCGGCCAGAGCCCATATGTATTAAACAAATATGCATTTGACCAGTAGATGAGACTAAACCTTCATCAACATCTTTTCTTTCCTTCAGTTGCTCGGATCTGCAAATAGCTTCCTGCTTTTTGGACCTTTCAAGAAGTTGATGGGAACTTCTCAAAAGGGTTTTGGCATCTTCATTAGGACATAATGAGAGGAACCTTATGCATAGTTGTAACCTCAAACTTTTAATCATTGGCTTAGAAAACCAACCTGTCGAATGCTACATAAGAATTAGTTAGGTTATGCATGCAAAGAAATGTTGTTACAAGCAATGAATCAAGATTATTACACAGATTATGATCACAGCAAATTTGGGAGAACTTGGTATGATTAAAAGTGGTCGATGAAGGTACGCAAGCAGAGCTGCTTGCAACAGAAAAACTACGTAGTCTGACACTTTCCCTCAACAAGACACTTACAATGATTGTACAGTGAGATTTCTGAAGGCCAGTAAAATGCCACAAAAGTTAATTCATGTCAGATACACGAGTAGATAAGTAACAGTTGATATGGTATGCCCATAAAATGTTTATGTTCTTTCTATCCAAAAAAGCATCAAAACAAATATTTAGTTACTCACTGAGCAAGTTGATTGATGAGAAGGTTTTCTAATTTCGGCTTGAATGAAGTCATCCTTCAGTTCAAATAATTGCAGGAAGATGAAACTTTTCGATGGCATCCTTTCAAGCTTGCACATCTCTGACCACTTCTCAGATCTTACATGTCAAAAGAAAAGAAAAAATGTATAAGAAGGGGGGAGAAGAACAAGCAGCAAATGTAAAGGCCTTCTTATTCAAAGAGAGCAGCACTTAAACAAAGCCATTCATAACCCAAGTTTATTTATGAACAGACAATAACACCACCAGGCACCAGAGAACGCAATCATCTGGAGATATGAAGTGAGGAACTAAATATGTTACGGCAGATTTGCCCCCATAAATGTTCAACTGGATTGACACAAATAAAAGTGAAGAGCTAAGCATTTGTTCACCATATTGGGAAACTGTCAGGATATTACATGGTTCATGTTGTGCTCATACTAGAGATGATGCCCGTGCGTTGCTGTGGAAACTGGATGCAATTATTTCAATGAGATCTGATAGTATGAAACATTAGTATTTATATTAACATTATGGAATTGAAACTAAAGTACATATAATTATTTTATTTAATTATTAATATAGTTGTAGAATATTTATTGAATATGAGTAGCAAGCATGGTGTATGCTAGCATGGTGTATGCTAGCGTGGGTCTTTTCCCATGCATGGTGGCATGGTGACTTGGCATAGTTCCATGTTGAGAGAATTAGAGTTAGTGGGGATCAATTATTTAGGTGACCCAGTAGTTCAAAAGAAAACCTTGAAAACGCTCATAGTGGAACATGCATTACTACATCTACAGTTCAAAAGTATTTTGATAGAAACCCTTAATGGAGAACTAGAATATGACCAAGCCAATTTTATTTTCCTATCTGTAATGAAGCTTCAACACTTTATGCACATGTAGTGTTTGAGAATTGCACCTGGATGTATGACCTAAATTCTCATTACGGAAGTTTCACTATTTAATTACAATCGAGTCCTCTACAAAGTCCCACCCCATTGCAGTTTGAAGGTGGAATCAATTATGGTCACTATCACTATGACAAAAACTTTGCAGCGTGAAGTTTGATGCACCATAACAAGTACCTAACTTAACTCCAGAACAGCTCCTAACTATTACCATGTTCACCTTTTCCCACAATCAAGCTAAATTAATATATTTATCTATTTCAGTGAAGAAATACTACGTACTTCTGACAAATCTACGTAACAGAAACATGTTTATTATTGCTCAAATCAGCAGACTAGTGTTAAGAATTCGCACATATATTCACTGTTTTGGGTACTGAAAAATGGACACAAACGTTTTAGTTGAATTGCTAACACATCAGTATCTTATGCATTATGCATTACGAAGCCTTTGATCCCAAACAAGTTGGGGTAGGCTAGATATGAAACTCTTTCACGAGGACTTCCCAGGAGGTCACCCATCCTAGTACTACTCTCGCCCAAATGGGTTTCATACCCAAAAGACTGGCTAGTTTTTACGTTGGCTCGCCAAGCCTATCACAACCCTTAGATACGAAACCCTTTCACGAGGACTTCCCAGGAGGTCACCCATCCTAGTACTACTCTCGCTCAAATGGGCTTCATACCTATGGGACTGGCTAGTTTTTACGTTGGCTCGCCAAGCCTATCACAACCCTCCTCCTTTACCCGGGCTTGGGACCGGCTAAGCCTAGAAGACATAGGCTAACACATCAGTATCCTATATTGAACTAAAATCTTATACAGTGGGCACTGGCATCCATTGGATTCACACGAGGTGTGGCAGGAATTCATGACGAGGTTTAAAAAAGGTATGGCATTTACTAGGATTATCCCGTTTTGGACATGGGCACGGAGAGTGTGCAACTTTTGATCACCAAGTTCTTTCACCAGTAATAAAAGGCTAGTAACTATATAGTAATATTAAGTATTTTTAACAACGAGACACTAATACAGGAAACAACGGGGAAGTTGAGAGACAGATCTTTTAAATAATGCAATGATATAACACTGGCTCGAAATGCAAGGAAAAAGAAATATATGACTCACCCATCGTGCCTTTTCGTTTGAAGATTCCTTAGCTCAGGAGGCATGCGAAAATCAATTCGCTGATATCTAGCACAAGAACATCATTTTTAAAAGATTCTAAAATAGCCAAGAAATAGAGTTCCAAGACAAGAATGAAATGCATAGGTAAAGAAAGATTTTGGTCGCAAGAAATGTAGCTAAGAGATTCTCTTTTTTACAAGTTTGTTACTCTGGGTTATTTTAACATTTGACTGCAAAGCTAAAGCGTGATTTTCATAAAGTTTCTTCTCCTCATACATGGAAGAAGTTACATTTTCAGGATAGGAACTCCTCAAAGAAGGTTTCTGAGATATGATGGATGTTGTCTCTAGTTAGATGAACTATTCTTTTGGAAGTAGATTTGATCATCGATGTATTTCAGTTACATACTTTTACCGAGAAGCAATCTAGTAATATTATTTTTCATTCTCATCTCGCTTTCTCATTAAGTAGCCCATCACCGCATTCTCATCTCGCATTTGCACTCTTCCTTCTCTTAAGTTTAGCAGTAGTCTAATGATTCAACTGTAAAGGAAAAAACCATTTGGCTGATGTAGTGTAGTTCAGAAAGATAAGACTTGTCAATGTTTGATAATGGAGTTCGCATTTCAAATAATTTTTTTTAGGGTAGCTCATATTTCATAGGTTCTGCACAAGATATGATAACTTTATGGTCATTGATATTTGCAACTGAAAAAAGAAACATCAGAAGCATTCCTTACAATTTAAGTAATAGGCTCTACTCTCAAAAGAATATTTAATGAATGTCAAATAAGCAAATAGTTCAACAAAGCAGTGCTTACATTCGTGACTCGGGATCTTTACGAGGATCATATTCTTTTTTGATCCAGAATTTACCAAAGGGTCCAGTAGAGAAGTAGTATCCAGCTTTAAACAAAAGGCTGAGCAAGCACACAAAAAGAAACAAAATGAATGCAGAGACGATAGTTGGAAGACGTTAAGACATATCGAAAGGCCTAAATGATTCAGGAGTTAAAGAAACAACGATACCTTTTGAACTGGCTTGTTGACACATGCACACCATCATCAAGCAAACGTTCATAAAGTGACTGTCTTGGCCACACAGGACGCTCGTCAAATAATTTGCACACAGCCATCTGCGAATCCCACTCTGATGAATTCCTTGGTATGTGGTCTTCCCAGTTAACCTTCTTGGGGACAGGTAAATGGCAATTAAGGTAAACAAGGATATGCTTGAGGAAATGAGGAAGATCATTTCCTTCCTCGGAACACTATCTAAGATTTTGCAAAGACATCCTCTTACGAGGAAAATTCATGGATAGCCATGTCAGAATAACAGAGTATAGGTCATAATGGAACACAAGTTTTAAACATAAAGGGTCATTTATGGCAAACAAATTATACTACCATCGCATGTCACCACTGCATTGTTCTATCTCCAAATACAAAAGGGTACATAAAATTATCAGAAAATATAGGTGGTGTCATTGTTATTGCTGGTGTTCTCTTTTACCACAGTACTGTATGAGAGGCACTTATGTGTAAAATAAATGCATTGACAGGGAGCACAATTATTTACATTGGAGAAGTATAAAGGAGTGCTATTACTGGGTTGCTTGTCATTCCAACTTCCGAAATAACCAACACCCTCACCCCAGCATAGCACTTCGCTTCCGTTTTTTTGGAAGAATCAATTGACTTCTCCCTTCTTCATTGATCCGGGAGAAAGGGAACCAACTACCAGTTGGGAAGCTAAACATCAAGGTTGTGGATTGATGAGGATACTGACACGCCGGAATAAAAAATGGATATAATTCAGAAAGATTAAAAAAAGGATTCCCATAAATTATGCAGAAATAATAATATAAATTCCTAATTACACCATGGCAGTTGCTAATATGAGTTGAGATAAGAGTAAAATGTTAATGCAAGGCAGATAAACTGAATGATCCCTCAGAAGATTTTTGAAAACAAAAGATTTTTTTTTCCAAGAAGCATGAACTCTGCCCCTCAACACAAAGTCAAGACTCTAGTAAACATACTAACCTCCTCATGCAAAATGTTCTCTCTTTTCCTGTTTTTGGTCTCTTTCATTCTTTTACCTAACTCTAAATTATTTTTTAGCTCTTGATATTCTCATTCCTTGTTAGCTTACTTCAATATTCCTTCATTTTGGCTCAAAACCATAAGCTCCAACTGTTTTAATATCATACATGCAAATGGCAATATATCTTATATGCCACTTGAAGTATGCAAGAAAGATGTCGGATCTGCCACCTATGCTTGCGTATTTTGCAGTGGCACACATGAAACAGATGTCGCCAGTGTTGTGATTCACTTCCACTGGTCAGAGCTCAGAATACCCATATTCGATGATTACATAGTGCTGACCATGACTTGATTTGAGGACAGCAGCAATGCCCAACCTAAGGCCGAGCTCACCTACAACCCGGCCATGTTATGTGCCTTACCTGCCCCTGCCCATGGGACCTGACCTGAGACCAAGCTCCACCATCAAATCCATTTTGGTCCTTTTCTATCCTCAAGTGTTGAAAGTGGCACTTAACACTAGTTACACATGCTTCTGATGGCAAATACAATGCGTGAAGTCAGGTGACAGATCCAAACATTTTATAAAACAGAGTAACATGTAAGATGTTGTCATATATTTATTAAGAAAATACACAAAGTTGATGGTATAACACTAAACAAAGGATATCTTGAATGTTGAAAGGAAGCGCAAGGGTTGGTTCAATATCCATCTGCAAGCAAAGAAAAACAGTCATCACCAATGCAGTCAATAAGCTATTTCACACCAACTACAATGGACGCATCTCCCAAGAGAAGGCATTGAATGAGGTAGCAGAAAAAATGTCCTAGCCTTGTGTGTGTTTTCTATGACTAGCTGTATTTCATGCGTTGCTATGGATAAATAGAAACCATATTCCCAGTTGTAACTCCTGTAGATATCCTATATTTAAGGAAGGTAGAAGGAGAGATGCTGAGAATACCACCGCTCACCAACTCCACCTTTTAAGTAAAGAAGCCTGACTGCACATAAATAGTCATATCTATAACTGCTAAACCGCTTTCAGACTGAGTGGCATGTCTCTTACCGCTTACTGCTATTTAGAGTGTTGGTAAGCAACGTAGGGCCGAGTACAGTTTACCCAAAAGAGTAAACTGAGAAAAATGTCACAATTATATTTTACTAGACATTCATGAGAATCTAGAATCATTGTAACAGATAAGCAACAGAAAAGGTCCATGCAAGGAGGATCAACCTCCCACCGATGCCGCACAACTCCCCTTTGCATGCTCTTGGATAGTGCATTGGTCGATGGTAGAAGCCTAAAAAAATACAGTAAATATTATTAAGCGATATTTTAATGGTGAAATAAATTTTTAAAAAGCTAGAGGAGCTAATCCCAGAAGCTACGCAGACAACTTAGCTCCACTTTTCCGAGGGTGAGAAGGTAAGAATAACATGTTTTGTTCTAAGTGATAAAAATAATATTTCTGAGCATTCTGATCAATTCTAAAATTATTGTCGGTGCCTTAGTGAAGATTCATGTACTACAACTGGTGCTACAACGTTGACCATGTGAACGAGTGTGCTGATTGAAGGCATTTGTCGCCAAAAAATTGTGCGACACTTATAGGAAACCGAACCTACTGCCATTCCTTTACAGGTGACAAAGAAGAAACCCATGCTGATTGCACAAAGCAAAAGAGACTCATCACTGGAGATGATTTGAGAAGGAAAAAAAAGGATATCCCTCAATTGGTATGTTTCAGCAATGAGTTGTTCAACTAGAAGATGAACACGACAATTTTACAAAGCTTGATTGGGTTAGCATTGACTTCAAATATTTCAAGCCACAGGTATATTCATGATTATTTATATATATCCAGCAGATATTTGAGGTACCAGCAGCAAATCAGATACTGATAAATACTCCCACATGTTGCATTATAAGAATATATGTGCATGAAACACGCTCATACAAGTAGTTTTGTATTTTGACTCAGGTTATTAGCAAAATTTTAGGACCAAGGTTTTATTTTAAACTTCTGGAAAGAAACCACGAATTCAAGGAAAATGCAAATAATTACACACACACCACCCACCCAAATTCAACGTCATTGTAAACTGTGAAACTAGGAGCACTTACGCTATGTTTGTTGGATTATCCTTTATTGCGAAGAGTGGTGGTACCAACATCATGACATCTCCATCATCCGTGTCTAGACCTCCTGCCATATCTGCCATGCAGAAGGGGAAAGGAGTGATCAGAAATGGCAACCTTAAGCCATTGCATCATCAAAGTAGAGAAAGTCCGAAGGTATTCTACCAGTGCCTAAATCATCTTTAACACTGGGACAATCTAACCGTTTTCTTTTTCTCACTTGAGCAGCATGAACTGGGACGACATGCTGAAAATCTGCCATGCCTGCATAAACCTTGTGTATGAGCAAATTTGCGTGTAGAAAATCATGTATTCAAACACATCGTTGCCTCCAAACAAAGTCTTATATTTGTAACATACATAGTCCAACACAGTGTGTCATACTGGTAAACACCATACCATAATCTACTAGCTACTAGCTAGAGTTGCTCCAACTGGTCAAAAGAAGCGAGCCTTGGAACACGACAGCCGTTCCAAAGCGTAATAAAGACCAAGGCATTTCATCAAACAGGTTGTGGCCAAGCGCTCACCATCGAAATGGTAGGCGGTCCGGACGCGCGCCACCACCTCGGCACGCGGTGGCGCGGAGCCTCCCTTGGGCCTTGAGAGGCGGAGGAGCAGGCCAGTGGAGGCGCGGGGCTCGCCGAAGGTCGGGTGGCAGTCGGGGTCCTCCGGGCGGAAGCGGAGCTCGAGGCGGGAGCCGGGGTCGGAACTCCGGACCTGCGGGGGATCAGAGAACAAGCGGAAGTAGGTCACTCCGCTTGTGCTGCCTGATGGAAGCGAGAGGGGTGAGGGTTTTAGGTGTGCGTACCTTGGCGATGGCGGGGAGGCCGCCGAGGGTATGGGTGGCGCGAGCGGGAGAGGAGGGGTATCCGGGGTAGTGCACGGCGAAGGCCTCGGCCCCCGGGAGTGTGCCGCTGACCGCGCCGTCCGTGATGGTGGACGGTGACTCGGGCGCCGCCGCCGCCGCCGGGGGGGTGGGGATGGAGGAGGTCATCGGGGAGGCAAAGTTAGAGGGGATGTTTGATAGGGCGGGGAGAGGGGCGGGCGGTGGGGCTTGGCCGCCGGCGTCGCCTGCCGGGCTCGCGGACGGAGTGGGGGCGAAGGCAGGGGACCGGCGGAGAGGGTGGCGGCCGACGGAGGGGAGCGACGCCGGGGTGGTCCGGTGGAGGCCGGAGGGCTCGTGGCCAGGGCGAGGGTGTTCGGGGGCCTCTTGGGCTGGCTTCTATCGTCGAATCCACTTATTTGGCCCATTCAGGAGTGCCTCATTCGGCTGTGGGCCTGACAAAGGTGGTCTATCGTCTAAAAGCCTGGAGGGAAATGAACCGGCCCAGGAGGCAGCGTACGCGTCCGTTCCTCCTTCCTTCCTGTTTCTTTCTTTTCTTTCGGGCTTTTGCTGTGTGTGCTTTTTGTTTCGGTTTTTAATTTTTGTTTTTTAATTTTTTTTTAATAAAAAAACTAATGCCCACACGTGTGGCATCTTGCACATCGCCCACACGCCTCCATCACCATTGATTTTTCCACGTATGAACAATGACATCGGCAGAAATATTTTTGATTTTTGGCTTAAAAATGTTTTATCTTCTAATTAAAAAATCGAATCAAAAATCCGTTTTCACCATTAAATCCGTCTCGACGAGATCTTCAAAAACTAGACCCCATGTTGATATGTTTCAACGAACTTTTTTTTGCCCAAAAGTTGCCATGATGTTTACACTGTATTGGCCAGAGTGTTTAAAATAAAGTTGCATGTGGCTATTTCAGTTTGTAGAGCATGGTAATTTTATTTTTTGATGATGGCAATTCCAGTACTTTGACCATAAAAATTATTTTTTATATGAACCATGGCAATTTTAAGTGCATGTATCATGACTTTATGTTTCATGGCAAGTCTAGTTTTTTAATTCCCCGTTTTATAATATGTCAAAATTTACTTTTAAATGTAGAAGAAAATAGCTAAAACATAGCATGGCAACTTCGGTGTAAACATCATGGCAATTCATATGCAATAGACATGACAACTTTTAACCAAAAAAAATCGTCAAAATATATTGATATGAGATCTAGTTTCAAACATCTTGTCGCGAGGGACTTAATGGTGAAAACGGATGTTCAATCGGATTTTTCATTTAAGAGATAAATATTGTAAAAACTGAAAATCCAAAAAAAAAACACATGCATGCATGCGGTGACATGGCGTAGTCCGTTATAGAGCGTGTGGGCGGGTTTGGCTCCCACCACGCGTGTGGGCGTTAGCGTTGTCCTTTTAGATTTGATTTTTTGGTACCCCTTCAAAGGATGTTGGGTGGGATTTCTCCCCGCGCACGAGAGGCACGGTGATTTTGTTTGTGTTTTTATTCATAGACTTCCTTTTTCGAAATGTTTTATCTTTTGAACCGTGTGTCTAAATCATAAACCGTTTCATCATTGCATTTGAGATTTTTGAAATTAGATCTCATGTTGATAAGTTTTGATAAACATTTTTAAGAAAATATATACTCTCAACTAGAAGTAATTTATTCTTACAAACTATACTAACACGTGCTTTCAAGTAAACTAATTTGTGCTTTTTGCAAAGGGTGTGCTTCACTTTTTTGAGGAAGCACGGTTGGAGCTTACATGCGAGGAACATAATTGCACTTCACTCGGAAAGAAAAAAAATGAGGACCAAAAAGAGAAGACTGAAAAAATCCAAAAAAAAATAAAAAAACAGGAGGGAAATCCAGAGGCCAAACAGTC